ATGCTATGTTCCAGTAACTGTTTGATCGACTCTGGCAACTCAAATCTCTGCCCCTAAAAGTAATTTTTATTTTGATTATTAATTAAAAATACGAGAGAAAATGTTATCCAGTCTGTGAAGTGGATGTTCCAGCCACAGCACACCGGGCTCGCTCACACGCTCCTGCCCAGGCTGGTGCTGGGTGAAGCCGACACTCCACCCATTTCACTCAGCTCCAGGCTGGGAGGAGAGCAGGAGAGGAGGCAGGGGGTGTGAGGACAGAGTGACAGGATGGTCACATTTATACACAGATACACAGAGGTGCTACGTAGAATCCTCCTCTATTCTTCCTCTCATTGTCCCTCCTCAGCAGTGTTGTGCACTGAAAAACACCCCTTGTAGCATGTCCCACAAGGATTTAAGTGTCTTCAACCAACACATTCTGCGTCGCGCCCTGCAGACAGTGCACGTTATGTGCAGCATCTCCAGACAGCTCTATACAGCACCCGCACAACTACTGGTGTCTGAACTCCTGCATATATTTCAGACATAAAAATATTTAAAAGCTTACTGTAAAATAAATAAAAAATACAACACGAGAAATGTTTGATATGTTATTCACATTACATCACGTTTTAAAACAACGGCACTTATTTGTCAAAATAAAAACAGTGATCAAAATGCCAAAGACAGTCCAATTTACTTTGATAAAATAAATGGATGGATAGATGGACTGTCCAACAACCAAGAATAGAAGCCTTCAGGTGCTTCAAAAGGTGCCACTTTGAGAATGGAGCAGGAGCAACAACCAGGACTGGATTTAGCAGAGAAGAGTTCAGCTCAGAACCATGATGTGAGGGGAGGGGGTTAGGACATCTGACAGAATCAGAGTTGCTCTATTCACACACAACCTACTGTTGCTCTCCAAAACAGTAATTTAACCTAGTGTTTACAACTGTAGGCAAATATTGATGTTTAACAACCTGTTGAAATACACCAGATTCCAGGAAATGGTATCTCTGTTATTCAAAATTTTCTGTGGGAGAACCCACAGATCCCCACCCCCCAAATGAGCCCCACACACACTGCGGCCCACCCGCTGTTCTGGCATCAATCAATTTACAAATTAAGCCCTGAGTTTAAGCCTATAGCGGCATAAGAAACCAACCCTAACTATACAATTTATCAAAAAGGAAAGTGTTAAACCTAGTAGTCTTAAACCTAGCATTTACAATCCTTTAATTTTTTGAAAATCAACAGTGAGTCTTATCACCTTAGATATGAAAACAGACCGGTTTATTCATATTGCGCCTTGTAATTCAGTGTGCTTTGTAGTCTGAAAAACGCAGTAAGAGCTACAAAATTCAAAGTGGTATAACTTCCTTCTAGAATAACTCAACTGCTTCAAATCTACAGAGTATATTAAGCTTGAATACATGAAGGGGCCTACACAGTTTCATGTCTGTGCATTCACTACAGCATGCATGGGGGACACTTAAATGTCCCATGTTAAGGCTAAGGAAACCCATGATTAGAACACTCTACGGCATTTTAAGGGTTGTAGAAAACATGCACTGAGATGAGAGAAGGCTTGTTGGATTTCTATTAACCAGGTATTTACAATGGTACAAAATCATCTTTGTAGGACATTGTTACGGGAAGCTGTGACCCAAAATGTTCTCGTATGCAAGAAACATCCTTCTTCCCTAAGTGCTTACAGAAAAATAAAGCAAGCTTCACATTCAAAGCTTTAACTTCCTTAAGGAATAAGCCAATATCCTAAAATTTACAGGATACATTAAACATAAACATATGAAGGAGCCTGGAGAGTTTCAGGCCTGCACATGCACGACATCATGCACAGAGGCCATGTCTATTTGCACTGTTGTGTGTGAGGCCTCCATTCACACACTCTGGGCTGCTCTGCGACTTCTAGGAAGCTCGCAGAGATGAGAGCGGGCTTGATAGATTTCTATTAACCAGATCTTTACAATGGTACAGGCTCATCTTCCTCAGTTACTCCTATAGGAAGCACAAAAGCCAAAATCACATGACAGGCCTTGAACTTTAGGGCCTTACAGCTTGCCCTAGGACAATGCAATCTGTTTCAAATTTCCAGGGTGTCATCAGCTGAGAGCTGCTCTCTAACCCAGAAAATTTTGTGTCTCTAGCTCCTATTTTCTAGGAATTATGGACCATCCATCACTTGTATTAATTAAAAAGTGTCAGGGTTTGGTGGACAGGAACAAACCCAGTAGTGCAGACAGGACTCAACTCGGCAGATTAAAAAACTAAATACTTTAATGACGAATAAAAAAGTAACAAAACAATAAGCTGATGTGGCAGCAACACTTACATAAACTAGAAGACTCAGGAGGGAAACTCAGAAGGGACTCAGGAAGCTCAGGAAAACTCAGGAGACGCAGGAGAACACTAGATACCCAACGAATACGACGCAACGAGGGACAAGACTGAACAGACGGCTTATATACAAGGACAGGACGAGACGTGATTACAAACAGCTGTGACGAGACAAGGGTGACACCAATTAAACTGAAGAGGAACACACAAGGGAAACACAGACACAAACAGAGCCCACGAAATGGTACCATCCTTACAAAAAGGCCTGACCTTTTGACATTTGGAGGGCCTGTTGACCCCTTTGGAACCTCCCAAAGGGTTCAAACTCACAAGGTGCAATCAGCATGTCTCCAGTTATATCCTCTGAAAGTTTTGTGGTCCTGGTTACTTGCTGTCAGAAGTTACATTGCGATCATTAGAAATGTGTTGTATGTGGAACAATGAGTTCAAAACTCAAACCAGAAGCTCCAGTGAGACAATGTGCCAATCCTTGACACTTTCTGAGTGCTTTCAGTCTCGAACCGCAGTTTTTGATGCAGTTGCATTCTTTTATTATATTTTTTGGTTCAAATTTGCAGTTTCCCGCCAAAATGTTCATGTGACATTTTGACACCTTAGGAACCACCTACAAGATCTAAATTCACAGCTTAGGTTCAGCCTGGTGGAGAGTACTGGATTTTAAAGTTTGGTGTCACTAACTTGTTTCAGTGTGGAATTGTGGGTAATGATGTACAAGGCAAATATGGGTGTTTTGTTAGGTCACTAAACAAGGTCGTAGAAGTGCCAAAATCACAGAGTCCCACCAGCCTGAGGCCCTGATCAAGCCCACAAGGATTTTTTGAGCTGGCATGTTCCAGATAGGAATTCTGGGTAGTGGTCCGCTGGACAATGAGGGTACTCGTTACCCACCTGAACAATCAATCAATCAAATCAATCAATCAATCAAACTTTATTTATAGAGCCCTTTCCAGCAGCCAAAAGGTGCACAAAGTGCTGCACAGTACAGAAATTAAAAACAAACAAGAATAAAAAATCAGCCAGTTAAAAACAAAAACAATTACAATTAAAACATAGCAAAATTGTCAAAGACCTACTAGGTATTAAAAGCCTGCCTGAATTAAAAGGTTTTAAGTTTAGATTTAAAATGCTCCATGTCAGTGATGGTGCACAAGTCCTGAGGTAGCTGGTTCCAGAGTCTGGGTGCGACAACCAAAAAGGCCCGGTCACCCCATCGTTTGTAGTTGGATTTTGGGACAGAAAGTAGAAATGTATTAGAAGATCTCAGTGTTCTCCTATATTCACGGACAGCTACAAGATTAGACAAATATAGTGGGGCAAGACCATTGAGAGCTTTAAAAGTGAATAATAAATTTTTAAA